TGGGGTTCATTGGTAAAGAGGTTCATGGGTATGTGGGTAAAGAGGGTGTGCTTGTGTAACTCTTTATGAGTTTTTATTGAAAAATAACAGTATATCCACAGTGTTCAGACACAAGCAGTTTCTCCTTTTACAGACTATTTCCCCAGCCTTGGAAAAAACCTGTTCACATGGCACAGATGAGGATGGGGTACACAGGAAACGCTTGGCTAATTTATAGAGGTTTGAGTAACTATATATGCAATATGTCTGTATCTATATCTATATATATCTTATGTATATATGTAATATATCTATATCTAATGTTATTTAGGACTACCTATGTAACTACATCTAGTGTTATTTAACTGTGTAACTACTTTATCTATTTCTCTCTAACTTACTATCTAGCTATCTACTGATCTATCTCTATTTCTACAGTGATTCTCCACTAAATACACAATCTGCTACAACACTACTAACTCTCAAAGCAACTAATGCAACAGCAACAGACCAACTTGCTCTGCAAAGACAGATTCAAATGAATGCCCCGAAATAGGAATATCCTATCTCTGAACACACTCGATCCAAAGTGATTCACATGACAAACCGAACCAATCAGCTGATTGACCTGATGTCCGACGAACCAAAGTGCTTCGGACGTCACTCAAGTGATTCAAACATTACTAGTCACGTGACCGAAACATGCCTCGGCACAGTGGTTTGAAACAATTGCTTTATGAGCTACCGCACATGTGTTGGAGCCTCGGGTGTCATAGGGCCATCACTAGGTGTACTTATACTTCCTGCTTCTTCTTATTTATGAACACACATAAAATGTGCCTTAATACTGGCACTATGTTCTTTAGCTCACTTAAAATTCAGCTCTATTATACATTACCCAAAGGCCACTTTTCATTGTGGGGTTTTGATGTAATAATTTCATTAAAATAATCACCATACTACAGCAGTGTGGACTTTCGAGATAAGTAGAACTTGTGTAACATTAGAAATACAGAAAACCATAATACTGTATGCTGCGTGTTTCATGTACTAACTGAAACATTCCTTTTCTGGAAATACATCAGTTACAAGAATTATCACAAGTGGAACAAGTCAGTAATATCCCTTCCTCCTCTGAGCACTGTGATATTTTCACTGTTCGATTATTATTATGTATTGGCAAGAACTTCAACCAGGAGGCTATTTCACAAACTTAAATCTGCCCTGCAAGTAGAAGGGACTGTGATTTTTAATTGTGTCTAATAAACACATGCACACATCCTTGCAGTCATCACTTACAGGGTTAGTACATAGACTTACATTCATTTCCAGGAGACTTACCCTAACTTTAACCAGAACCACTACTTTAACTCTTACCCTATCCTTAACCAAAGCCCACAAGTGCTATAACCTTACACCTCGTCATTTTCATAAAATTTGAAAAATTTGTCATGGGGCCCAGCCTCCAGTCCCCACAAGTGACTTCCGCTCCCCGGAAAGCAGTGTGCTCCCAGTGTTCTGTCCCCACAAGTATATGCAGTATAAACAAGGGAGGACACACACAAGCCACAGAACTTGAGAAGTAAGAAATGATAGAGCAATAATAAAGGTTTGTATAACATCAAAATCACTAACCGGTCTCATTTGTAAAAAGAAAAACAAATACTAAATCATATCACAAATGAATGCTGACATCACTTTGGCACAATTAAGAAGCTTTTTGATTCAACACGATGATAAAATGTGCTGTGCTCAAATGAGAACACCATCATTTAGAAATCTCAGCTTCCCCTCCATTCCACTCGTGTCCCATCCTCTGTAATATCCGATTATATAACACTAAGAACCCAACAGAAACATTTAGTTTTCTGCTCAACTAATTGCACTATGCAATGACTAACTATCATCTTTCTCCACAGCACAGCACTTTCCACTAAACATTTAACTTGCCTGGGTTCATGTTATAGAAGCATTCTGATGGCAGTCAGATGCTATGGTGAGTGAGGTCCCTGGGTTCCATGAAGAATAAAGCTGTTGTGATTAACCAGTGATCCGTATAGTTCTGCCTAAGTTGGCGAGACTCTGAACATCATCATCTTCCGTAGGTACAGTTTGTATGTTTGAACACGTGCTCATGTGTGTATGATCATGCATGTGTCACAGTCACAAAAGAAGCCATAATACTCTACTGGACACAGAGCCATTGGAGTTGTAGGTGAAAAGATGACAGGTAGTGGCCGGACAGGATTGAAAGGACTGTTTGTCTGTGTGTCTTTGTGTTGCCTCAATTTTCCTAATATTGTGCTTTTACTGAGACACACACATTTCCTGTGCAGCAGAGGACTGCTACCAACAATCAACAATTCAAGTGAATTACTTTTTTTTTTTTTACTTCCAAATAACAGTATATACAGTGCCTTGCGAAAGTATTCGGCCCCCTTGAACTTTGCGACCTTTTGCCACATTTCAGGCTTCAAACATAAAGATATAAAACTGTAATTTTTTGTGAAGAATCAACAACAAGTGGGACACAATCATGAAGTGGAACGAAATTTATTGGATATTTCAAACTTTTTTAACAAATAAAAAACTGAAAAATTGGGCGTGCAAAATTATTCAGCCCCCTTAAGTTAATACTTTGTAGCGCCACCTTTTGCTGCGATTACAGCTGTAAGTCACTTGGGGTATGTCTCTATCAGTTTTGCACATCAAGAGACTGAAATTTTTGCCCATTCCGCCTTGCAAAACAGCTCGAGCTCAGTGAGGTTGGATGGAGAGCATTTGTGAACAGCAGTTTTCAGTTCTGTCCACAGATTCTCGATTGGATTCAGGTCTGGACTTTGACTTGGCCATTCTAACACCTGGATATGTTTATTTGTGAACCATTCCAATGTAGATTTTGCTTTATGTTTTGGATCATTGTCTTGTTGGAAGACAAATCGCAGTCCCAGTCTCAGGTCTTTTGCAGACACCATCAGGTTTCCTTCCAGAATGGTCCTGTATTTGGCTCCATCCATCTTCCCATCAATTTTAACCATCTTCCATGTCCCTGCTGAAGAAAAGCAGGCCCAAACCATGATGCTGCCACCACCATGTTTGACAGTGGGGATGGTGTGTTCAGGGCGATGAGCTGTGTTGCTTTTACGCCAAACATAACGTTTTGCATTGTTGCCAAAAAGTTCGATTTTGGTTTCATCTGACCAGAGCACCTTCTTCCACATGTTTGGTGTGTCTCCCAGGTGGCTTGTGGCAAACTTTAAACAACACTTTTTATGGATATCTTTAAGAAATGGCTTTCTTCTTGCCACTCTTCCATAAAGGCCAGATTTGTGCAGTATACGACTGATTGTTGTCCTATGGACAGAGTCTCCCACCTCAGCTGTAGATCACACACTCTTGTGTGTTACAGCCTGCTCAGTGTTTTATAACTAAGGTGTCACTTTATTTTTAAGCTCATTTAATAAGACAAGTTGAACCAGAACAGACTCATTTGGAGCAGCATAGAAACACATACAGTACACACATGGATCACTGTGTAGAGCTATGGGCAGCTTCTGCACAACTTCTATAATTAATTAAAGTCCCACTCCAGAAACATTTTCATTTTTATATTTGTATATAAAAATACTTTACTATAAACAATATGCAGTCTAACACAGCTTTTCCTCAAAAAAATTTCAGTGGGCCTCTGTAATAGGAATGAACATTGCCCCTCATTGTGCATTCCAGGATCTATGAATGTTGCCGTCATCCCTTATGTGGATTTGAATAATTTTGCACGCCCAATTTTTCAGTTTTTTATTTGTTAAAAAAGTTTGAAATATCCAATAAATTTCGTTCCACTTCATGATTGTGTCCCACTTGTTGTTGATTCTTCACAAAAAATTACAGTTTTATATCTTTATGTTTGAAGCCTGAAATGTGCCAAAAGGTCGCAAAGTTCAAGGGGGCCGAATACTTTCGCAAGGCACTGTAGATAATCTCTTCTTATCCTGCCTGCTCAGACTTTGTTGTAATGATGTTTCCATATTGACAGTACAATCTTATTGTTTTAAAAAAAACATTTATAATGAATCTGCAGTTTATGGAAACATGCGTATTCTCTGTATGTCCTCTAGATATGAAGGTAACTTAGCTTAGCACAAGGGCTGGAAACAGCTATGCTGTAGCTGAGTTGCATTTTGTCTGTGATGCGGTTTTAGTCCGTCCTTTGTATGACTTTATCCCCTACAGGGTACGTCTGTATAGTGGCTTGTTGTGGTGCTGATTTTATGTGTTGGCTATCTTTTGTCATTTTTGTGCTTCTACAATGTTTAAGTATGCTTTGTAGTTAAATGGTTTCTTTTTTGTCTGTTTTAATTGTGTTTAATTCTGTTTTAATTTAATAGTTTTTATTTTCTACTTTGTTGTCCTGTAGCCTAGCGTATAGACAAAGACACATAGACACTTAATGGTTAAATTCAATTTGACAGTCACAGTTAAGTCGTTATGAAACTGGATCAAAGATTTGTTTTAGTTGTTAAAAATATATTTGTCCTCTATTTTGCATGTTTTACATAATGTGCCGGTTTGTGCTGTGATGTGATTTGTTGGTAGGCTATAACCAACTAGTGCTGCCTGATTGGTTGGTCGAACCTTGTCAGAAGTGTCCCAGAACCGGCATCTGTCAAAAATAGACTAGATGCATCTTGAGCAAAGCTGTGCATCTAGGATGCATTGATGGTGGAATGCAACCGGACCCGGTGGAATCACAACCATTGATTAGACTGGCTATGATCAGCTCAGACAAATCGGAAATTAGAATTTAAAAATTATTCCTTAACCAGGATCAGCTGCCAGGCAACCAGCAGAAACCCTGGGAATTTAGTGGTCCCTGTTAACTAACAGTATGTTATTTGACTCTCTGTAAAGCAGCATGTAAATAAGTATAAAAAGCATTTTTTTCCAAAATATTAAACTTTTCCTTTAATAACATACTCTTGACTCATTCATATGTTGTGAGTGTTTAGCATAGCCTTTACCTAGATCCATGCTCTTGGACTTGCGGGTCTTGATGATCTCCAGTTGAGCAGCGTCATCATACTGTTTGGTACGTTTTTCTGATATGCTCTGGCGACCAAAGCCCTCCCTCTGGAATGCACCATCGGGATTTGCATCAGGACTGAGCGAGCTGCATTTTATTATTAAGAAAGGAGAAAGGGAGGGAGAAACAGACAGAAAATTATTATAATGCTGCCAAGAGTCATGGCCAATTCAGGGTTATTCCAAAACCATGTTATCCAATTAAAGATAAGTTTTGCAGTCACCTACATCAAGATGTAGTTGTATTGCTAGGGGCCATCTTGATAATAAGACTGGGAAATTAATTCTACCCATTAATATTCATACACCTCCAAACCACAGCCCATAACACACACACCGTCAGTTTCAATCATTCAGTCCCTTTTCAATGACTTTCCCAATCAAGGACACTTTCAATTCTACTGGCTGGGTTCAGGACATGCTAGAACTGGGATGAGGAGGCCTGGCTAAGGTGTCTAATACCCCACTAAGGTGATGGCTCTCTGGGGTCATGGCCACTCAATCAACCCCTCCTCCAATATGTCTGGTGCAGTGTCAGTGCCTGGCCCACTATAGCACAATCCTTATTTTATCCTCTATCTCTGTCTGGATCTTAATTGAAAAAAATTAATAAATCAAAGGAGAGTGGGGAAAGATGGTTGGGAGATGGGGACACTGGTATTTGCATGCAGAGTACAAATGTAATAAGAAACAGAGTATTTACAATTAAGATGAGAATATCTTTCCATTTTGAAGGGACAGAAAGCAGGTGGTACCATACTAGTGGAGTCTAATAAATGTTACAAGCATGAAAGGACACACCCTTTCTCTTCTTCTGTTGATGGTCGCAGTATGATGAGGCACCTTTAAGAGAGCCTAAGAGATCTTAAAATCCCTACATCTTACAACAGCAATTCAAATCAACTAATCAGATTTTTCTTGATACTGCAGATGGATAGCATTTCTACCAAGCTGGGTGATGCTTTGTAGTGTTTAAATGCAGAGTAGAGGATAGAAAACGGCTTTGTCATTGCATCCTCTTTGAAGCATATGCTCCTTCAAGCATCCTTCAGTGTGTATAATATCTCTTAACAGCAACTGCAGACGTGCTGGCTGTAGTTTGCATATAAACAATTCTTATTTGGATTGTCAACCCCGTTTAACAAAAGAGGTGCTTCATGTGTCACTGAGGAGCCAGCTGTCAACCATACCTGACAGTCCCAACTAACATCAGGCTGCTTCAAATGACCAAATGCAGCTTGACACAGTAAGAGAGGGGTGGAGCAAGATGAGAGGAATGACAGCACAGATGTGTTATTCATTTATTCATCATCCCTGGCTTTTCTCCTCTCATTATTCCAAGCCCACAAAAACCAGCCCACCCCTTCTTTCTTTCTTTGTTTATGTTTTTGTAAATGTCATCTGTCAAAGTATAACTGAGATGACATCAAGAAAGGACATATTCTCACTCTGAATTCAGATTTCATTCATCCTGGCCAGCATAGTGTTTTTGAGCCAGTTGAACACATACACAGAACGCAGACACAGTGAGAGGGCATGCATAACCCTGTCACGCAAGTACAGAGAGTTGGTGGAGAGTTGTGACCATTTGTAAGAGCAATTACAGAGACAAGCAGTTGGGATAAATCAAAATCCAGCCTGTCTGAGCAGAAATGATGAGAATCTGTAGGGGGTAAAAGTGAAGTTCAGAGGTGGTGTGCATTCACTTTATAGGACATCAGACCTGTTGGTTAAAGCTGCTACCCATTTTAACACGGTCTCAGATTTAGTTCACACGGAGCAATGACTAATGGGGTGTTCACACATGCAGAGACAAATCCCTGGGCCAGCTGTCACTCAGTACACCCTGCTGTGCAAGACAGAAAAAAGGAGCCCAGCGACATAAGCCTAAAGCTAGGGAAAGCTCAACTTTATGCAAAAATGACTGATGGAGTTCAGTGGCAGCCGAGCAAGAGCCAGTTGGTTCTATCAGTGATGGCAGAGATATTGAGCCAGGCTCAAAGTGGTTATAATTAAATTTATTTAAGTTTTGACTTTTTTTTTCAGGCAAGAAAGCAACTATTTAAATTGAGAATGTGTGGTCAGTCTATCCAAGTTTTTGAAAATTTGCTCTGATGTTTTCAGAGATGCAAGTACTTGCAAGCTGACCGAGCTAGCTCTATTAGCAGGCAGCTACATCTCGTTCAGAGTACAGTACTTGTTTACAGCCACCTACTGCAATCAGAAGACATCTGTCCAGTAATAGCAGAGCAGGTAAATCATGTGCTCAACACAACACACCCCCAGAAGTCCGGAACACAGCACCAGCAACTTTGTCTTTTTGTGTGAACATCCCATAAATGTCAAGTTTGGGACACATAACATGAACACAAAGCTCACTGTGTTGCTATGAGTACTCCTCTAAGATGCTTGAATTTGCACCTAAAGTCTAAGTAACCATGCTTTTTAAAGACATGAAAGGTGAACCTCTACACCACTACTTCCCACTCTTTTTAACTTGTGCTTCTTTATAAAAATGTTTCCTACCTGGAAACACATTTTTAACATTTTTAAAAATGTAACAACAAATTTAGAGCAGTTGTAAAACAACACAATATACTTTAAGACTTACATGCCACTTTCACCAGGAATAATTATATCAAAGGCATTGTAAGTCTAATTTTTTTTTGTCTACTTAAAGCAGCATGCAAAGATTCAGAGCTGGTAAAGTCCATTAATAGAAACACAGCTCTCAATTACAGATCTCATATTCACTTTCTACAGGCTATTAACCTTCCCCCAGAAATGCTTGTTATAATAAGATAATGCTTTGGAAGCATTTTTGCAATGATCCATGAAACGTCATAATCTGAAACACTGTCCACTAGCAGAAAGGAAAGTCAACTTAACAAATTGACTCCATGAAGCTGAGCCCCATACTGGACTTTGATGATCACTCCATTGCTCATTTTGGTCACATACTCTATTTGACAGAGGGGAATAAGAAAAATCTTGACCATATGACCGCTTCTCAAATAGGTTAGGTAATCTGCAGAGTAGGATAATTTCTTCCTCAAACCACCATTTCGTCCACACCTCTGGCCTATCTTTAATAGGGAGTCCAGTCCATTTAGATAACGCATTCTGTCATGTCTACTTCTTTAAGCAGCGATTACATTTCCACCATTCAGAAATGATGCTTTCTTTTGTGTTGAAAGTCTCATCTAAAATTGACTAACGCTGAGAATTGCTCACAGGCAAATCCACAGCTTTAACGTGCATTTTATATCAACTTGTTCCTGTCTCCGTCTGTCTCGCAGGAATTTAAATGTGTCAAACTGCACATCGGCCTTGCCGCTAAGTGGTGTGTGCTAAAACCCCCATCTGCTCTCACAATTCACCCTGACAACTTGCATCCTTTTTTTAAACTTGCTTTTCTTTTTTCAAGTCCTAATGCTTCTTACTTTCATTTAAGAGGCATGGCCTCTTTAAAAAACAAAGGATCAGAAAGGCTCCAGGCCCAGATGGTGTGACCCCCCTCCTGCCTGAAAGTGTGTGCTGATCAGCTGGCCCACATCTTCACACTTATCTTCCAGGTCCAGGTCACTGGAACTGTGTGAAGTCCCCTCCTGCTTCAAACGTTCCACCATCATTCCAGTCCCCAAGAAAAACCCCACTATCTCCCAGGACCTGAAGTGGACGTCCAACATCAGCACCATCACCAAGAAGGCACAGCAGAGGATGCACTTCCTGCGCCAGCTCAGGAAGTTCAACCTGCCCCAGGAGCTGCTGATACAGTTCCACAGATCTGTTTGAAGTCCTCCCCTCTGGACGGCGTTACAGGTCACTGTGCACCAAGACAATCAGGCACAAGGACAGTTTCTTCCCCAGGCCATCACTCTGATGAACACTTGACCCACGATAGTATGACTGGACAATAACCCTTAGCAAAATACCTGTAAATGTACATTGTACAGACTATTGAGATCTATACAAGTCTCTATTTTCAAGTACTCTATTTCTATTCCTACTTATCTCATTTCAATGAACATTCCTTTGTCTGTCTGCATTGTTTACTGCCTGTTTATACTGCTTATTTTGCATTGTTTGCACTGTTTGTTGCTTGTAAATACTGCTTATTTTTGTTATATTACACAGCCTTATGCTGGCTTACTGTTTACTTGCCCCTTGCATGGGGATATGTACATACACATTGAGAGCCGGTGTACCACCATCAAATTCCTTGTGTTCCCAACACACCTGGCCAATAAAGCAGATTCTGATTCTGATTCTAAAAACAACCCAAAAGAGTTACTTAGTCTCAGCTTGGTTTGATTGATTAGCAGGGGGCTCTTTGCACTAGTTTTACACCTCAGAGAGGGGCCAAGAGGTGTGGAGCAAAGCTTGGTAAGGTGCTTCTGACATGGGTCTTCTGAGGTCTGGAGGGAGGCGATTCAGCTGATCGCATGGATACATAGCTGGGCCAAGGAGTTTGTAGCTGAATTCAATTACTGCAAAAAGCTCTGCATGACAAGTCCATGCAGAGGTCTGGTGGCATGTGCACGAGCACTAGACAGCTGAAATATTTATACCCGAGTAAAAAAAAAAAAGGTGAATGGAGAATTTCTTCCAAATTTGTAATAAATTTTTTAAACATGAGCTTATTGTAAAAATGATGTCACAGATTGCTACTTTTTAGTTGTCTAATTGGACCCATAAAACATTTAACTTAAACCCAGATATAAAAACTGTAAAATAAAATGGTTCTATCAGCACCACACAGCGCAGCCACAGCTATGATTTGCTGTAATTTCTTTTAACTGTGATGAAGCTGCAGAGGGAGACAGCGAGGGAAAGAACAAGATCAATTAACACCTCTTTGTCTGCTGGCTGACTTATGCATTGACCCCCTCGTTCATTCCTTGTCTGGTGCTCTATTAGAACACCAGTTGTCACGTGAATAGTTTTGCTTATGTTGCCATGTTGGCAACAATAAAATAAGTGAAAATGAATGGGGGTATGTGGATTTAAAGCCATATAAGTTCACTGCTCTCTTTAATTAAAAATACATAAAACTCTATCTTGCAAAACTCAATAAATTAAACATGT